GTTGAAGCATTCGCCAGAAAAATATCATAAATATAGAACATATTTATCTGAAGTTAAAAAAAAAAAAAAAAATATTGAAAACCTACAGTCAGATTTTAAGAAAATTGATTTCAAATAAATAAACAAATCTATGAGTTACACTAAAAAGTTGTTAATTGAAAATAAAGTTTAAGTACTCTAAGATATTTTTTATCCTTTTTATTCATATATTTTTGTGAAAATTTTGTAATAATATACTGATCTACATAAAAATAAGGCTACAACATTGAGTTTTTAGAAATCAAAAAACAAATAACACGGTTGCCATATAAAATATACTCTGTAGTTGAGATTTTAAAATTTCAAAAAGTTTTCGCATTTTCTCACGCATGCGTACCTAAACACAGCGCTTGTAAACGACCGTGATACGTCACTTGGGCGGTAGACGAATATTCTTACTTGTGTTAAAGACAGCTTACGTAGGAGAAAAAAAAACCTTGATATAAAGCATTATTATTGGAGTAACAGAAGGATGATTTCCGTAATCTGAAAAGTAAACCCCTAAGTGGCTTAGATAGAACTTCTGATAGCTTCAGATAGAACTTCCACTTAGATAACGAGAAGATAGAACTACTAAAAATCAGTTTCCTTATTTCTAAAACATCTAAAAAAATGCCATTTGTTAAACTTTTTCTAAAATATAAAAAAATGATTTTGGCATAAATAAAAACCGTCTAACCGCGCTAGCGCACAAATTAACACGTTAAAGCAATAACAAAAATTATATCACTATGACTATTTAAAAACTTAAAAGACATTTATATGTCCTTTGCACACATGTATCAACTCTAAAACATCCTTCACATGCCAACTTAAACATTCAAGCCAGTCTTCGTTTGCTTCTCCTTAAACTACACAAACACTACAAAAAACTTTATCAGTGATATTTTTTAGAATAAAACCAGTAGATGAACTTGGGTGATCAGAATCAGCTGAAAAATAAGTCTTCTTTATTTTTGTTTTGACTGTTTTTTTTTTTTTTTTTTGACTATTAACTTAACATTGTCTGGTAATGTAGCAAGAGCATTATGGCATTTTGAGAAAGTAGGTTTGCTGTTTGCCGTAGAAGATACAATAGTCCTTAAAACAGAAAAATTTCGGTCTCATGAACTTTTCTTTATTAATTATCTCGTTTTTTTGTTTTCCAAGTCTTTCACTGTGTTTCTTAGGGAACGCAAACCACAATGGTAAAACGCAATAACAATCAATTCTCTTTTTACAAGTATGTTGGACCATACCCAGTAAGTACAGGTCGTTTTAAAAACGTTTAAAAAACTTATTAAAACGGATTTTAAAGTTTTTTAAACGTTTAACAACGATATGTGCTTACTGAATACTTTGTTAATAATAACGTGAAAGTTGCAATATTATGTTAAAAATAATGTGAAAGTTCTAACGAGGCATAGAATTATTATCGTTTTCAACTAAGCAATTAGTCAAGGCCTAAGACCACTCATTATTAACATGTTTGTCAAGTGGTTGAAGGCGATGCGTACTATAAGGTGGAATGCATATTATTTCAATATCCATCTTTATTACTAATTAAATTGTTTCAAAAATTAATCATCCGAAAAAAACACTTATTTTTTCCCATCCACTTTTGTTAGACTCTTTGTTTCTTTAAATATGAAAAAATGGTGGTTAACTGTCTCCTAATGCATTGACCGTGGCCAGGTATGTTGTTAGAGTGCCACGTTCACCAATAGTTACATTTTGTACCTCACAAGTGCCCTTTACAAAAAACCACTAGGTACAGATAAAAGGCCGCTTTCATCACAATTATAAATCAAATTTTATATACTTATTATTTACTAGATATACATTTTAGACTATAATAAGCTTGTGTACATGTGTCTTTACATGAGTTTATATCAGAGTCACGTTCATAATTAAAACTTTAAAAAGTTTTAAAAACTAACTGTCAACTTTTATATTCTGAAAAGTTTCTTATAGATAAAATCTGAAGCTTTAAAGTACATTTTTTACACAACTTGATTTTCTTTCAAACAGCGCCCCTCATTTGAGCATATGATAACAATCATTACGTGACGATTCCCAAAAAAAAATATATAGCAACTTAAATTGTTATTTTAAAAATATTGACATCGATCTATCGAAAAAATATACTTTGTGATCAAAACATGTCGTATTTTGATTATTTTTTTAACGATAAGCATTTAAGCAGAAAAATATTTTATCAACTTCAATGTTTACTCACAATATTTAAAGAATATTCAAAGCAAAATGTATAAAACAATTATTTAATAATATTCTACTAATATCAATAGAAAAAATTTAAAAAAAAACCTAGTAAACAGATTTTTTAGTTTTTATGCATTATTATGTTAAAGCTGAGTCGCATAAGTGAAAAATTGCACCGTGACGAATTCACCCCGCCTTACCCTATTATTGGAACCAAATTAACAGGCTTATCTTTACTGATTTTTAAAATAATATATCTTTAACATATAATATAATTATAAGTTTATTACAATATAAAACATTAAAATAAAAATCAAAGAACTAGATGAGAAAAAATTCTGATTAAAGTGATCAAACTTGTTCTTTTTATTTATTAGCCAATATTATTGTTGTTGGTGATTTTGATGCTAATCACACTACATAGCTTGGTCAGTGTAAGTGACTATGCAAGTGTTAAGACCCACAACTTTACCTTTCTCAGTCTTTAATACAAATTGTCAACCTTCCTAGTCGCTTTCCAGACAATCTGAATCATTTCTCTACTTATGTCTTGTTTTTGATTTGAGTCAGTCTTTAGTTTCTCCACAAAAACCCCTAGGTGCGTCTCACCTTGGTTCAAATACTCTAAAACTATAATCTAATTCCTCTTCATAATTGAAATCCCCCTATCATTGCACCTCTTACAACTATCCTAAAGCTGACTGGGACTAATTACGTGATTTTCAATTTGATTGCCATTGTGAAAAAATCTTTTGTCTTACTGTACTGCTTTTTATGTAAGTCCTTGGATTCAGACTGGAATGGAATTTTTTATCCTCTCTCAACGATTCCAAGCCAAACATTTTCTGTGTTTTTCTTTTTACTGTGCTGCAATTTCTGATTCTAAACATTATTTTCATATCAATTACGTTAACAGTTCCTTAGAAAATAAAAGTCTGTTTACTATTGCTTGAAACGATTTCAAAAAAATTTTGTCTTACTCCATAACCTGCTTTTCTTAGGCTACAAAATCTTTAACTTTCCCTATAATGAAGACCAATTATAGAACAAGTTATAGAAGTTGTTTTTATAGTTTACAAAGTTAGAGTCTAAATAAATTAGGAGACTTTCAATAAATTAAGACAAGAAGATATTGTTATGAAATTTCTCTCATTAAGTGCTTATTATGGTTCCAGACGGCACTGTCTTATGTTTAACGTTGATCTAACCTTTAGTAATATTAAATATATTAAACTCTTATATTAGTATATTTTGTATTATTTATATTCATCATTCAAATAATATCTCTAAAAAGTAATACGGTCATATGTGAAAAAATAAAGCCCGCCAGCTAATATTAGTTTTAGATATATACTTGCGCTCTTATGTTATCTAATATGATAAAAAATAACTATATAGTAAAACATAGTTTACAGTTCAATCACATTAAAAGTTAACCCTAACCACCTCAAGTAAAAAGCATCCAACTATAGAATATATGAGACTATATAATAATTATACTATAACTAATTTTATTTATAAAATTAATAATATTAATGATTTGACTGAGTATAGTAACTTCATTCTTAATGTTTTTTAGTGTCTTCAGTTAAAAAAATGTCCTTGATACACAAGTATTTACAAGATTTTAGCAAGTAATTTTTTTGATGTTCTTCAGACAACTAAAATTGCTTACAATACGGTTACATAATAAATTGCTTACAAAATGTTTACATTAGAGTGGCCATATGTTCTTTTAAAATATACAACAAGCTATATTATTTCGCGAACATTGCATGCTTTTAAAATAATTTAAGATATAATAATATTCAAACATTACATGATTTATAATTGATAAAATTTTAGCCAAAGTACAACATACCTCTGTCAAAAGAAAACGTACATGCTCTACCTTTGTCCACTTTTTTTAAAACGCGGGCTAGAGTAACTTATTGTTGGAGTAAAAAAAAGTCTAAACAATAATTTTTATCTAAATATTAAGAGAATAACACAAACTTTGAATGGTTTAAATTTCACGGTCAGAGATACAACAGGTTTTCCATAACTCTCTGAAGCTTTTTTAAAAAAAAAAGTTTTCAAAATTTTTGAGTTGAATTGCCTAATAAATATTTTGTTAACAACCTAAGATTTTTAAAGCTATGCGTGTTATATGTATTTTTATTACTGTAAAAGTATATTTATTTTGTTTATTTCAAATCGTAAATAAAGTTTTTTCCATTTATAAAATATTAAACTACACATTGTTAAACGTCTTCTAAAACTTTAATTTTTTTTACATTTTCTATGTTGTAATTTTTTGTTATATTTTATGCTATATAATATTTATGACATGATTAAGATTTGATAAAATGATATTGAAAGACATTTTTATAAATTGTGTTATATTAAAACTCATAAATAATTCAAAAAAAAATTCAAAAAAATATTCTTTGTATTTTAACCAAATTGTAGGCATAAAAGGTTGAATATCATGAATAGTAAATAACTTTCTTTACTTTGCTAAAATATATTTTTATATTAACAATATGGTTTTTTTTATTAATATTTTTATTTTCAACTATTGGATCAATTTCAAACTTTTTTATAAGCTATTTTATTTCGATTCGTTCATTCTTTTTAACTTTATATATATATATATATATATATATATATATATATATATATATATATATATATATATATATATATATATATATATATAATATATATATATATATTTTAATGAGATTTTCACGCCTCATTTGCTTACCTTTTTCTAGTTTTGTGCTTCAAAAATTGATGGAAAATCGTCTGTAAACTTTATGTATACACAAGGATATCAACAAACTCTAAAGGTTTTATGTTTTATCTTTTTTCTTTTAAGTAGTAAAAATGCTATTTTCAAATAATTTAAAATTATAAATTAGTTTTGTTTCTTATTTCATCATTTTTCTAGACAACAACTACAACAGCAAAAACAGATTTTTGTTTGGGGGTTATGCCTAATAATTATCCATTAGATGAAAATGGGGTGATAACACCTGATGATTTGCTTAGTTTTGCATGGCAAGTGGCATCAGGAATGGTATTATATAGATGCCATTTTTTTATGTTGTTATTATTGCTTTTTTTATTTTTAGGCTTTATTATTATTGCTTTTTTGAACCAATTTTTTTGGGCATTTTCAGGAATTTTTATCGTGTTCTAAATTAGTTCATCGAGATCTGGCTGCAAGAAATATCTTGGTCGGAGCTGGAAAAAAAGTAAAAATATCTGACTTTGGTCTAACTCGAAAAATTAATGATGAATTAAACTACATGAGCAAGAAAAAACGTCGTTTACCGGTCAAGTGGATGTCAGTTGAAGCCATATTTGATCAGCTGTTTACATCATTTAGCGATGTGTAATTTTTTTATTATTTATATACTTTTTTCAAAATTTTTATTTGATCATGTAAGCTAATAAAACAAAAGTCTTAAATTCCACCATTTTTTTATTTTTGTTTTTAATGACTCTTAACTAGCTTTTTGTATGTTTTAGGTGGGCATATGGTGTTGTTTTGTTTGAAATCATTACTTTGGGTTAGAGTTTTTAAACTTAACACAAATTTAAATAAAATATCATTAAAGTGTTGAAAAACTTAAATATTATCTAAATTAATTTTCTTAATAGGAGGTACACCTTATCCTACTATAAGTAACCGAGAACTTCTCCCTCTTTTAAAATCTGGTTACCGAATGGATAAACCTGAAAACTGTTCTGAAGCAATGTAATTTGATTTCATTTTGTGCATTTTCTAAATTTACTATTTGTTGTTTATTTTAGGTAATTTTTAAATAAAATTTTAGGTACTCTATTATGTTGCAATGTTGGAATGAGGATCCATTACAACGCCCTACCTTTACAACATTGCGTGAGTATTTTGATAAAGTAATATCTCAAGGTGATTGTTATCTCAATTTTGACTTCGACGAAAATACTGCGCCGTCGTTTTTGGCGGATGAAACAGATAATGATGATGATAATACAATGGAAGACACGGTTTTTCTAAAGCCTTTTTATGTAAAGTAAACTGAAGAATTAAAAAAAACTTTGCGATAAATCCATCCCTCCATTAAACAATAGAATTACAAATCAAATAAATTGTTTTTTTTTATAATTTCGTATTCTTAAATTTGGTTTTTTAACATAGTTTTTTAAAACATTCGTTCTTTATTAAGGTCAATTAATTATTTACCAATTTTCAAAACTTTTAAAGGCGTAACCTTGCATTCTGCGTTTTTTTGAGAAAATCAAAAGTGGCTTATACGTTTATATTTACATTCACAAAAATTTATAAATTTGATTTTTAATTAAACCTTTATAATTTTTTATTATATATTATGGGAAAACGGGGCAAAATAGCAAAAGTGGAAAGATGACTTTTCATATAACAACTCAACAAAAAAACTTAAAAATGGGTGAAAACAAAACTTTATATGCATCTTGTATTTTAATACGCTAATTAGTTTTTTTTTTAATATTATTAACGCAATTTTATTGCATAAGTATACTTTTTGCGCTAAATAATGAACTTCAGATTAGTGTCGAATATACTAAAAAGGTCTTAAGTTGCACAAAATAGGAATTGAGTCACAAATTAATTCAATGAATAGTATCGAAAACAAAAAAAAAGGAATAGTGTTACAAATGGTAAAAACAAAATAATGTCGTAAATAGTTAATTTCAACAACTGCTAAATCGTTTTGCTCATCTTTATAGCACGCGGCTTTTACAAAATAAAAGAAAAAAACTAAGAATAATGAAAGAAAAGACTGCTACCAAATCCCACACCCTCAGTCGATGTAGCAGTACTTCTTTGCGGCAGCAGGCTAAAAGATAGTTGGTGTATTCACTGAAGTAGTGTATTCCTCGGCAGCACGCTATTTCAGTTTGACATCAGACATGTTATCTAAACACTCATTTATTGTTATTGTAATTTTTTTATTTTTTTTATTATTCATTAAACTCCTTTAGCACATTCCTTTTTTCAATTTTTGACACTATTCATTAAATTTATTTGCGACACTCTTCCTTTTTTTTTGTTTTCGACATTATTCATTAAACTCGTTTATGACATTTTTCCTCATTCTATTATTCGACAATGCAACACTATTGCGACAATTTGAGTCATTATTCTTTTTTTACATTTATTACAACCAAGTTTGTGACAATCAAAATTTTGCGACACTATTCCGCCGCTCGTTCGGTTATGCGTAACCGATTGTATCCTTTAATTATAATTTTTTTAGGACCATTTCTTTGCAACGCGAGTTAATTTTGTGTTACTTTAGTTAGGGTAATTGGTAGTTTTCAAAATTTTATAAAATTGAGATGTAAATTTTATAACAAGTCATTTTGCCGCGGTCGAGTGACCAAATGATAAACTTATGAACTTTTTATTTTAGTTTTAATTTCAAATTTTTCTAATTGGAAACTGAAAATTCATGGAGGCAATGAATAATTAAGATAACATGAACATACTGATAAAGTATTATTGTTTTATGACTGATAGTTTTGCGATAACTCAGGCCTTTCATTTGCTATCTTGCCCCGTCTTCCCACATAGTTGTTAACCCACAATATAAATGCATATCAAAATAAGTACTTCCCTAACTGTTCTGATCAACATATTAATAGAACAAAAAAATATTTTTATTAAAAAACTATATTATATTAATGATTTTGTTGATCTTATAATAAGGAAAGTGAATGAAAATTGAAAGCTGAAGCAAAAAAAATTCTAATCGCATGGCAAAAAACAGAAACACGTGTAAATAAGTATTAAGTGTCGTTAATATTGCCGTAACCTTGGTAATATTGTAATCCCCAATTCAGTATTGCTCTGGAACTGAAGCTATTTATTAACGCCGTTTATTATCCAAAAATTAGCGCAACACTGCTTCAAATGTATTGAAAAAAAAAAATACCCTTCAGGTACTTATGAATCTGTTTTGCAAAATAAAATACAAATTAATTAGTTTGAAAACATTAGGAAGATTGTTATCGATGGTTTGAAACCTGCTTTTTTTTAGCCAAATTTAACTTTGTTTTTTTATCTCAGAATTTTACTTTGCCTCAGTGTGTTTTGCCTTGTTGTTTTTAGTACAGCTTAGAAACCTCAACTGCTCCTTTATTTATATTTCACTGAAGATAAAAAATTATTTTAGAAGAAGTTCATAGTGAATAAGTTAACATTGGTCCAACACTGACAAAAAGAGAGGCCCAGTCCTTGATACCGGCTAAGTCCTGTACCGTTTTGATTATCGGGCCAACGACGGACCAGCAGCGGCAAAAAGAACTAAACATGCGTTGGGTCGACAGTAAAACTTCATAAAACTTTACATCTTTGCTTCCAGCAAAGCTGCAACCAACTACTAAATAGTGTTGGAAGTTACTGGAAGAGAAAGAAAACGATTGACAGACGACTGAAAAGATTGCAAATTATAAGAATCAGGAAAGCAGGATGAAGGAAGCGAATTCCAAGGAATTGATGTTCGAGGAAAAAAACTAGACAAATAAGAGTTTTTGGAGCACTTAGGAACATTAACAGAAAAAGCATGAGACTTAACTGTATGACGAGTAGCATGAAAATGAATTTTAGTAGATGACACAAAGGACGCTAGCTCTTTAGAGCAGTACCCATTATAGTATTTGTAGAAAAGTGAAAGAGAAGCAACATTACGACGATGTGACAGAGGTTGAAGTTTGGCTGCAAAAGCAGGTCCAACTATGTTAACAATGCGTTTTTGCACATTGTCTAAAAGAGAACAGGCATCATTAGAAGATCCACCCCAGATATGGCACCAGTATTCCATACAAGGCCGGATTTGAGATTTATAGAGATAGAGAATAGAATCCAGAGTAAGAAAGTGACGAGCTCGATAAAGAGAAGCGACTTTAGCAGATGCTAATTTTGCAACGGATTTGATATAAGGTTTCCGAGAAAGATCAGAAGTAAGAAATAATCCTAGAAGATGAAGGGTAGTAGACTCATTGAGTACATTACCGTTCATAAATATAGGAAGGATTAATCTATTTCGGTATCGACTGGCTAAAAAAAGTTGAGTTTTATCTGAAATAAAATTCACCAGCCACTGTGAGTCCAACGCTGTAGCAGAAGTGAGATCCTTTTCAAGCTCAGATGCCTCCTCCAAGCAATCACAGGGAGCTGGCTTCTTATCGTGACAAGAATAAATGTTAGTATCATCAGCAAACAATTCCACCTTAAATGTAAAAATATCTGGATATTGTTAATGTAAATTACAAAGAGTATAGGGCCAAGGATTGAACCTTGAGGAACCCCTGAGGTTACAGAATTAGAAGAAGAGTGCTGTCCATCAAGGACAACTTTTATGCTACGATTGGAAAGAAAAGATTCAATAATCTTAAAGATGTTTCCAGATACACCGTAAGAAGAAAGCTTATGGAGAAGACCAGCAAAAAACTTTAAAACGCTTTAGAAATGTCTAGAGCGATGGCTTTAACCTCTCCACCTTTATCTAATACGCGATAAAACCTATCGGTTATTACTGTTAGCAAATCAGCCGTAGAACAAGAAGATCGAAATCCATATTGATAATCAGAAAATAGGTTATAAGATTCGAGATAAGAGATTAGGTGTTTGTTAATTAAAGATTCAAAAACCTTGCTTATGATAGGAAGAAGAGGGAATAAAGGATTCCATGCCAGCCTGAATCCATGAAGTTATGTAAGATGCAAATTTGTCAATAGGAAGACAAAAGATTTCTACCCAGTTGTTGTAGTTGTAAGATGTACGATGATAGGGGGATTCTGATGGTAAAGAAGAATGAGATAATAGTTTTAGAGATACCAAACCATGATCAGAAGTACCTTAGGGTGAGTTTGGAGAAACTGACTAGGATAAGAAACAAGACATAAGTTGAGTAGAGAAGGTAAATGATACGGGTTGTCTGGAAAGCGAGATGGAAAGTTGACTATTTGAGTTAGGGATTGAGATAGGAAAAGTTGTAGGCATTAATGCCTGCGGAGTCACTGGGACTAGAGCCAAGCCATTCAGTGTGATGAACATTAAAGTCACCGACAACAACAATGTTGGCTGATGGATAAAAAATGAGGGCTTGGTCAATATAATCAGAAATAATATCAAGAAGAGAGCAGTCTTGAATCGAAGAAAAGCAATATAGAGCAAAGAGAAAGGTGATAGAGTAAAGTGGTGCTAAACGAAAGCATATAAAAGATTAGTCTGTGGATTCAAACCTAGTTTCCCGACAAATGGGTGAATTCTTACGAATGTAAATGCCTAGGCCAAGCATGTGACTATTGGAGTCTTTACGAATTAAAGGAAGATAACCATCAACACTAAGATCACAATAGGAGACAGCTGAACTCAAATTAGTTTCACAAAGAGCAAGTAGGTCTGGTGAACTTTGCAAGAGATAAGACTCAACAGAAGAAAAGTTACTTCGAAGACCACGAATATTGGTGAATGATAGGTTTAGCGAACTTGGTGGTGACTATTGTCTTCTGTGTTTTATAGTTTTTGTTACTTTATTCATTTTTAAATTCGTTAAAGAACTTGACTCGAAACATAGAAAGTACTCAGTACACTGTTTTATAGCCCAAGCAATTGCCTCATTTCCCCTAATAAACCCTAAGCCGTAACAAAGGGCTCTAATGTGGCCTTGGCAATGCACACCAAAAGTACAAACTGGGACACCATCCATGCGCAACATGGCACTTTTAGTACTCTGGTATTTTTTAGCTTTTGATGGAATCAGCATCTCTCAGAGCTACCACAGACTTCGGGAAACCTGACTACCAGCCGGCCTCACAACAATAAAACTGAGTTTTAGAGCTGTACCCTCATTTGGAGATAATAGAATGAGTTGCCTAGTCATAAAAAGAGAGACACAAGCAAAACCCATGCATCGAGTCAAGAAGATATATTATAGTATTATATTATATCCAGCGATCAACATCCTAAACTGGAAACAATGTATTAAAAATACATCTGTGCCAGCCTAATAGATTTTTTCAATTGAAAAAATTATAAAGTCAGATAGTAAAAATAGGATTACATAGCACTTTTTTTTTGAATTTTTTTGTTTTTTTTTTCACAGTTATTAAATAAAATAATAATTTCGAAACTTATTTGTATGATATGAAAAAAATAAAAAATAAAATCATAAC